TGGTGGGGCCTGTGGTGTCTCTCCTGCAGTTTGCAGATGATACTTTGATTATTGGAGAAGCTTCTGCACGTAACCTGTGGACAATTAAGGCGTTGTTAAGAGAGTTTGAACTTATATCAGGCATGTCTATTAATTTCCATAAAAGTTGTGTGGTGGGAGTGAATACTGACAATGGCTTTGTGGAACTAGCAGCAAACTTTCTTCATTGTCGTAGGGGTCAACTACCTGTTAAATATTTAGGGCTGCCCCTTGGAGCGAATCCTAGATTGTAGGCTACGTGGCAGCCTGTGTTGGAGAATATGCAACGTTGGCTCTCATCTTGGAAGTACAGGTATGTTTCAATTGGTGGTTGGGTCACTCTTATTAACTCAGTGCTAAATTCTATTCCTATCCACTTCCTCTCCTTCTTCAAAGTCCCTAACTCTGTGGTGAAGGATATTCACTATTCAGAGGAATTTTTTGTGGAATGGGATTAAAGATCTGTCTAAGATCCCTTGGGTCCGATGGGAGTTGGTTTGTCGGCCGAAGGGAGCTGGTGGGCTTGGAATTAAGGATGTGAAGGTGTTTAATTACGCTTTACTTGGCAAATGGATCTAGCGTTGCTTATTATATCCAGAAAGTCTTTGGGCGCAGGTTCTTCAGGCGCGGTATGACCTGACCCCGTTATTGTTGAGTGTGTGTTTGGTGAATCGGCGTACTTCTAGTTGGTGGTGGTACCTTGTGTCTACGTTACAGGTAGGAGGGCAATGGGTGGATGACAAGATATTACAGGCTGTGGAGGATGGTACTTCGACAAGATTTTGGGAGGATAGGTGGCGGGTGGCTTCAGGCTTAAGGAGGTTTTTCCCAGATTATATTCCTTTACTCTCGATCCCTCTTCGGTTGGTTGTAGTGTAGAATGGTAATTGGTCTGGAGATAATTGGGTTTGGGACATTCCTTGGTGTCGTCTGCCCTTCTCATTTGAGTTGCCATTGGTAGCGAGTTTGATGGAAATTCTGGATGGATTTGTGTTACAACCTCACCTCGAGGATCACTGGTGTTGGCAGGTTGATACTTCAGAGTTATATTCTGTTAAGTCGGCTTATGGTTGGCTGTCAACTCTTCTAGTTAATATTCCGTCTCTTGACGTTAATCTGCAGGAGGTGTTGTGCAGACTTTGGAAAGGTAAAGCACCTATCAAATGCTTGGTGTTTTCTTGATAGCTTTTCTTGAATTTTGTTCCCTGCAGGGTGCTTCTGCAGGGGCGTGGAGTGCAGTTGGATTCTTCTTTGTGCCCTATATGCGATTTATCTGTAGAAGATCCAGTGCATCTTTTTGTGTTTTGTTCGGTGGCATATAATACATGGATAGATGTTTTTTGTTGGCTTGGTGTTAATTTTGTTATGTCTTTTTCTTTGGTGTCCTTTTTTCTTATTTGGTGTGGTCAAAGGAGGAGTAAAAAACGATTCTAGTACTTTATTATTATTTGGATTGTAGTCATCTGGTCCATTTGGTTGCATCGGAAATGTGTGGTCTTTAAACAAGGCGTTGTGGATCAGTTGGAGTTGTTTGACTCTATTCGTCTACATTCTTGGAAGTGGATCTCTTCGGCTGGTATGAGAATGTCTTTTAATCTTGTAGACTGACATAATAATCTTTAGATCTATTTTGTTTAGTGTGTTTTTATGTATTTTGAGTTTTTTAGTGATTTTTATCTGCATTGTAATGTACTCTGTTTTTGGGTTATGAGTAACTCTTATACTCAACTTAATTGATTTTATTTGCTTATAAAAAAAATTAAGAAAGGCAAAAAAGCATTTTATACGTGCTTTTTGCCATAACAAACAGGGTTAGGATCATGTGACGAACACAAGAAAAAAAAAAAAAATGTGATGAACATAAAAGGGATATTATAGTTTTCTTTGTCTTTGTCTTTGTTTGTTACAAACCATCTGTCTCATAAGATCAACCCGTTATCTTTGTCATCGACCTGTTGATCTCGTGAAAACAAAGTGCGTATAACTCCACATTTTGAGGTTAGCCAACTTTGTGATATAACAAGATATAAAAAATATAAAAAGATAATATTAGAAAATAAAAAAATCACCGACGTTTTTTAATTTTCATAAACTTCAATCACATTCATGGTTTATAAATTATAATACACAACATCATCCTATATTTTTTGGATTTAAAATGAAAAAAAAAAAAACCAACTGGAGATGTAGATTATTAGGAGACGACGAAGAACACAAATTGCTGCAACATATAAGAAAACACGTTTTCTTAGCTTCAAAAGTAAAAAAATAAAAATGTTTTAATTAAATGAATTTATCTTCAGGTAAAGATTATGAAATTTATCATTTAAAATTTTATTTAAAGAAAATTTCTATAAGATAAAAATATAGTTGAGTTTATTATAATTTTTTTATTTATAAACACAATTATTCGAAAGATCTAAATTAATTATCTATATTTTATATTATAAAATATATAATATTTATATTATATTCACATGTTTTGTCAGTATAAAGTATAATCCGTTATAACGCACATGTCATTTATTAGTGTTTAAATAAAATCTTCCCTAGTTAATTTCATTGTTTTAATCTAATGATTTTTAATATACAAAAATATATTTTTAATTCTTAAAATATTATAATTTTTTATTTAAAATTTTATAATAGTTAAACTTATATATTTGATTTGTTAGATATTATTTTTCTATTTTAAATTAATTTACATTTTAATATTTTAAAAAATTTATTAATGTTTTCAATTTTTAATGAAATATTAATTATTTATTTAAATTTTTTATTGAAATAATATCGTCTAATAATATTTAATAATATGTATTTTTAAAAGTTGAAAAATATCAAAATATTTTTAATAAATTTGTATTAATTAAATTATTTAATTTGTAAAAACAAAAACCGTAAAACATAAGTTAATTTCAAAGGATAAATATCTTCTTTACCTAATTCTAATAAGAGCATGAAATAAAATAAATAAAAATATGAATAAAAAATTAAATTATTCAGATTAATTAAAAAATAACATAAATTGATATCTCGTGTTTTATTATTTTTTAAGTTATTATAATAAAAAATATTATTAAAAAATATTTTAGAATTAATTATATATTTATTTATTTTACGTTTAACACGCTCGTTGCGTTTGTTATTTTGTAAGACGCGTTTTCTAACGAAAGGAGAGGTTGTACGGATATGAACATATTCCAAACCTATGAAGAGTTAAAATATCATTAATTTATCATGTATTTTTTTCAAGAACCACATGCATAAAAACAATTAATAATAAATTATTTTAAGAAATTAAATGATAAAATGTGTTGTTTAAAAAAAATAAATATATACTTCAGTCACTATATTTATTTTTTTAATTTTCAGTTATAAATTGATGATTCATTATTATTATTAAGAATAAATTAATAATTAGTCTTAAAAAAAATTTAGTGATTTATTAATACGAATAAACATTTTCACATGCCTCACTCGCTATGGTTTCTATAAGTGAACATCCAAACATATCTTATTTTTTAGTTTAAATAATGTTTTTCCTAATAAATTTATTTCATAATTCTTTTTAGGTTTTAATATTTTAGAATAGATAAATATCGAACAATAAAATTATCATGAATAAATACTTTTTTAAAAAAAGTACAAGAAATAAATACAAAATTAATGAATTTATTACATAAAAAAAACAAATAAAGCAAGAATAATTTAAGAAATGTTTAATTCAACCTAGATAGGTGAAAAGTTAATAGTTATATGAAAAGACATAGTAAGAAAAAATATATATTAGATTCAATAAAACAACGTTAGGAAACACCAAATACAAAATCAGTACTTTAACCGGGATAAAAAAAATTAATTCTTTTTTTCTAACATAAAATGTAGAACAGTGAAATATTTTTCTTGGAGAAAAAAATAGAGTCCAAGAATTTGATTCCTCAATTCCTTTAATGTACATAAACCAAATCTTAGTAGGTAAGTTCGAAAATGGATTAACCTAATAAGAAATGACAAGGTAAATTTAAAACAGTGGATAACTTCTATCTAATTTCGTTTTTCTTTTCTTCTGTGAGGATAAATTCTAACCATCTTATACTGCATTTGTCTTGTCACTACTACAAATTTAATTCTCAACATCACATATTATTTAAATTTAAAAAACTGAAAAATATTTTGTAGATAGAGATTAAAATTCTATATTAGTTAAATAAAATAAAATAAGAGTGAACTTAAATCTAAAAATTTAATATATAATAAAAAAATATTAATTTTATCTTTAATATTTATAAAAAAGTAACAAGTCTATATAAATATAATATATAAAATAGTTACGTGAATATAAAGAGTTAGGATAAAACCTTTTTTTATAGGAAACTTTGGACGAGACAACATGATTAATTTATCTTTCATTTTATCTCTGACACGTCAATAGGTAAATTAATTTTTTTTAATATTTTTTATATATTTTTAATATATCTTTAATTATAATAACATTTTTAAATCTATATTTATTAATTAATATTTTTATTAAATAATTAAAATATTTAATTATAATTAATAATTAAAATTTAATTAATTAATATTTATAATTTAAATTATAATATATTTATATACTTCAATAACATAAACTAATATTTTCAGTAAGACGGATTAAATAATCAAAACTATTAAATTATAATTAATCTTCAATCTTTTTCTCATTTTTTATATAATATTTTTTTAAATACTATTTAAAATAATGATGAAACTACGTTATAATTATATAGAGAATTTATCTTTTATGATAAAATTATTTTTTCCATGAAAAATAAATATTACCCCATATAATATTTGAAAAACGAATATACAAATTAAAATAGATAAACAAATAATAATTTGTGCTGTGCGTGGTCAAACATGGCTTTTCAGCTCCTGACGAACCTTCCGTGGGTGCTTTTCCTCCGCTGCTTCCTCTCCGATCCGTGCCACACTCTTCCCCGGCGATGGCATCGGCCCTGAGATCGCCGATTCCGTCAAACAGGTTCCCGTCTCATAAATCCTTTCGCCTTTTTCAGATTCGCGAAATCGCTTTCAATTCCGATGACTTTGTTTATCTGTTGTGTCTGTGTTTCTGATACGATGACTTTGTTTATCTGTTGTGTCTGTGTTTCTGATACGCTCAAGTTTCATCTTTATGCTGAGTTTTGTTTTATATATTTTTCAGTAATTTATGATGTACCTGATGTAGCTCTTCATTTTTATATATTATGAAGCAGAGACAATGACATAGACACAGTTAGAAATTGCAGGTACACAGACAGGCACATAATTTAAGATTTAAGGAACAAGATTGTTTATTCTTAATAGTGTGCCTTTTAAGATTTTTAATTCCTTGGCATGGATTGTATGTGCCAAGACCTGCTATTTTGCAAGCCATTATTGGAAAACATGGGGCATCATATGTGGGAAGAAATGCTTTCTATACCTTAATTTCCTCGTATTAAGGTTGTATGGATTGTTTTACCTTTCTCCCTTTGCCATGACACTGCAATTTGTTCTGGTCTCTGATCGTGATCTCTTATAAACATTCTGTATACTTTATTCTTTTTCATCTCTTTTGCTATATTTGGTTACTGTTATGTGGATTTGTATATTTATGGAAATTGACTTGCTTGGTCGAATTTATCTAATACTCTGTCAGTTATTTCTATTGTGATACTAGATATTTGAAGCAGCCGAAGTTCCGATAGAATGGGAAGAACATTATGTAGGAACTGAAATTGACCCTAGAACGCAGAGCTTCCTCACATGGGAAAGTTTGGAATCTGTGAGGAGAAATGGGGTTGGCTTGAAAGGGCCGATGGCCACCCCTATTGGTAAAGGACATCGCTCATTAAACCTTACTCTTAGAAAATAGCTCAATCTGTATGCCAACGTTCGACCTTGCTAGAGTCTTCCAGGCTACAAAACTCGATATGATAATGTCAATCTAATTACGATCCGTGAAAATACTGAAGGCGAGTACAGTGGACTTGAACATCAGGTAAATTTCACAACAATTGTTGTCACGTACTATCATCTGAACTAAGATCAATATAATTTTAGTATTTTTGGGTTTCAGGTAAGATCAATATAATTTTAGTATTTTTGGGTTTCAGGTTGTGAGAGGTGTAGTGGAAAGTCTCAAAATCATTACACGCCAAGCAAGCTTAAGGGTAGCTGAGTATGCTTTCCATTATGCCAAGGCTCATGGAAGAGAGAGGGTTTCTGCCATACACAAAGCCAATATCATGCAAAAGACTGATGGTCTTTTCCTCAAGGTCTACTACCATTATACATGACGAAAAATACTTGGTCTCAAAATTTATTCATGAATTCTATTATTAATAGTTTTTCTTTAAAATTATTTCAGTGTTGTCGTGAAGTTGCTGAGAAATATCCTGAGATAACTTATGAGGAAGTTGTCATTGACAATTGCTGCATGATGGTAATATAGTGAATTAGATGTATGTTAAAACTGCATTTCGGAAATACTTTGAGTATTAGAAAATTAATGACACTTGTTTTTCTGACCATCCACAGCTTGTGAAGAATCCTGCACTTTTCGATGTACTGGTGATGCCTAACCTTTATGGTGATATTATTAGCGATCTTTGTGCTGGCTTGGTCGGGGGATTGGGCTTAACACCAAGGTGCTTTTACTATTTTATCCAAAGAAATATGAAACTCACAATTATATCATCTGACAATGTTGGCTGTCTTTTGCAGCTGCAACATTGGTGAGGGAGGTATTGCACTTGCAGAGGCAGTACATGGTTCAGCACCTGATATTGCTGGAAAGGTGAGCTGTGAACGTACTCATTCTACCTATTAATAAGGAAAGCTTTTGGCACCATCCTAATTCAGGTTGGAAATTGGCTTAAGCTGATAGGCTTTGCCTAAATAAACATTTACCTGAATGGCAAAATGTTAGCCTGAGCCTAACCTATACTTGTCATCGGTTTGTGTGAAATCCCATAGAGAAATTACACTTATATTTTTCAAAATTGAAATTAGTATAGTCTTTGATTAAATTATTATATTTTGCATACAGTTAAAATGATGTATTGATTTGTAACAAATTGTTTCTGACATATATCTAATATATAATAATAAATAATACGGGTCATCTTGGTAGGCCACTTGAACTTTTTAAAATTCCTAAGCCTTTTGCCAATACTCCTTTTAGAAGTTCAAGTCTTGTTTACTAAATAGTCTAGGTAGTAAGTAAAATATATGTGGGGACACTGGGCTCTAATGTATGCTCCTTAGAAGATGTCTGGCATGTTCTCGTTGTATCCTTATTCGTTAATGGATTAACATTTGTAACATTTTACACACTGTTTCTACACTCTCTGTAGTTTTTCTTTTGCATTTAAGGCCTAACCCCTATGAACAGCTTTAGTTATTCATAATATGTAGATGCCGAAACCTAAACTAGTAAGAATCTTTTAGCAAAAATATTGAGAAGGTAAAAAGTTTTCATATAACATGAAACTGTTTAGAAATTAAAGATATAACAAAACCTTAGAGGTAGTGGTTGTCATTTGGAGACTGGTGGTATTGGATATTGCTTATTTGACTGGCAAATCAACTTTGGTGGTGTATTTTGCTCAATGATATTCAAGGATTTTCTCGTTAGTAGGTCGTTATGATATTTAGCATTATTTGTAATCCCCTAGCAGTTTTTCTTTCCCAGAAGTCAAAGTTCTAATATTGAAGTAAGTGAAATTTTGGGCTCAATTAATTAAACTTTTCTGTTGATACTTTTTAATGTATCAAAATTAGTTTTTTCAAGAAGCAAGCTCAACCAATTTGAGTTTCCCCTTAAGAAAATTCTGTCTACAATATAGATGTTCTTTTTTCCTTTTGAGAATGATCTCTTATATTAAAGTTATATTTGGAGAGGGTTTGGCGTCACCGTCAGATTGTTCCCTTGTCTCTTAAAATCTATTTTGGTAGTAAGGTTGCATTTATCTAAACGTAGGTCACCGCTTTTTTTTTACTGAGATATTCTTTACCTCATGTAGAATTTGGCAAATCCAACTGCTTTACTGCTAAGTGGTGTTACAATGTTGCGCCATTTGAACCTCAATGACAAAGCGGAACAGATTCAAAACGCCATCCTCCAAACAATAGCAGAAGGGAAGCACCGTACTGCTGATCTTGGTGGCAAGTCAAAGACAAGTGACTTCACAAAAGCAATCATGGATCATCTTTAAATTTTCGTTTGGAGTCAACATTCTTTTTATTTCCCCATATTTATCCGAAACAGTGGGATTACCTCAGCTTAAAGGAAAACTCGACTAAGTGTAGATTACCTCAGCTTAAAGGAAAACTCAAACAAGTGTAGATTACCTCAGCTTTTAAAGGAAAACTCAACTAAGTGTATGTGACATTTTACAACCAAAGACCAGGATGGGCAAGCATTCAAATATTGGCTGCCTCACTGCAGTCATGTAGCAATGAGAGGGGTCCTCTCACAATGCACAACTGATATTAATGTATTGGCACATTGATTGATAACCCTTCTTGGTAGTCCTTTTTAGTATTCTTTGTCAATAATATAGCACACAGAATAAAAAAACCAGATGATTAATTTGTTCATCCCCATGACCTTTCTTTGTGCAGGATATTGTTTGCATTAATTTATTTTCTTGAAATTATATTTAAATTTATGACTTGTTTGTGCCCTTTTCTCTTTTAATGAGACTAAACCAGGATGGGTTTTGTACCCAAAGTCTAGAAATGCTATTCTTATTTGAAATGCTTTTGTTCATGAATATGCCTAAACTAACAATTTATGTTCCTGCAACCCAATTTCTCCAAATCGGATTATTACACCTTGTTAATGACATCTGGTTGATAATATTGGAATTTGACCACCGAATTTGTAATTTAACATTTATTAATAACTAGGTGATTTTTATCAACTCGATCCTTCAATTATGATAATAAATTATCTTTTTTGTTTGCGTTTAATACTGTCCAAATTGAATAGATTTAATATGGTTTTAGTTTTTACAATTGAAGTGTGTTTTGATTGTGGATTTTATAATTTTGTTTTAGCTGTTTATTCATACTAGAAGTTTTAATTATTGCTTGTAATTTTATAACATGCGTTAATTTTGGTTTAGAGTAAAATATATTTCTATTTTTAAGAAACTGAATTAAATATTTTTTGCCTTTAAAGATTATTTTAAAAACAATAAATTATATTTATTTTAAGGATTTAGAAAAATGTTTAGATATATTACATTAAATTGTATTAGAGATATCAACAAATGTTATTTGTATTGATTATTTAACTTTTTCTCGAAGAAATAAATAGTTAATCCAATTGTAGATATCAAAAATTGGATTTCAACTTTGAGGATGGAAATAAAATAAACCTCCTAGAAAGATTAATATCAGAACTTATTAACTTAATTAGGATTAGTAACATATTTGAGTTAAATTGAGTAATAAGATAATCAAATAATTGTAAATTAATATAAAGTTCTATGAATATAATTTCTGATAGTTTATAACTCAGCAGTGAGGTTTGGTATATATTTTTTTAATTATTAAAATTATAAAATAGTATAATATTAGGTGAAAGTTAGACTTTTTAGGGTTTGTTTTTGTCTTAGATTATTTTAGTAATCAATTATATGTTTTAATAATCAATTAGTATATTAAATTTTTTTATGATTAAGTTAGTTCAAAGTGATTTTAAGATAATTAATTTTTACTAAATATAAAAATTACTTTTCATGTGAAGAAAATTTGTATGAAACTTACAAGAAAAAAATGTTGAAAAATAATTATAAATAATGTTTTACAAATTTAAGATATCATTCTAGACATGTTTTAAGGGGTAAAACATTCAAGTAATTATATTTTAGAATAACCATTCAAATTAAGTACTGTGTTATTAATTATTGAATCCGAAATTGTTCATTGTAACCGCATCTTCATAGCAAATTTATTTTTCTTTTCTTTCTGGTTATCTCCAATTCAACAATGATTCGTGAGTGAATTGATTGATAAAAATAATAAGAGACTAATTTAATATACTCAAAGTCTATTATTTCAAAAAATAATAAAATTAATAAAATATAAACAATAAAATAATTCTTCCACCAAAAATCAATTCATTATAAATGTTGTTGTTCATCGTCTGATAATTATATCAACATCTTTTTTTAAAACAATAATTTCTAAAATGTTTACTAATATAATAAATCAAAGTAAAGTCTTGCTGAATAATGAAAATGGGTAAATAGTTAATCATGCCAACTATCATGATCATATCAATTATGTATGAAATATGTTAAACATATACATAATTAATTATACAATTATCATAATTAAAATAGCTATGAATGGAATATTTAATTAAATATTTTATACGTGAGAATTACTTGAAAATCATAATAAGTTTGGTTGAATATATATGAAAATTAGTGGTGACAATTTACTTTAACTCAAATAATATATTTATTATGTAGGTCTATCATAAAATAACAGTTAATAAATTTAAATACATAAAATTAGAGGATAAAATATTTTTTTAGATACTTAATAATAATTTTGAATAAAATCAAATGATGCATCTATATTACCATAAATAGGTATGTCAATAATTGAAGGATAAATTTAATTTATTTATTTTAGGGTGACATTAATATTTTATTAAAGTTTTTATATTGACAATAAATATTAATATAAAATTTGATTAGGGCTGATTAGAGAACTTAAGGTAAAGAATGAATCCATCTATTTCAAAAATCAAGGTAAAGCAGTGAAAAAGTTAAAGCCTTTCCTTTCCATGGTGGTGAACTACTGGGAAGAAAGTGATTCTGTGAATGAGCTTCAATGTATTATTAGTTTGAGAGAAGAAGACTTTGCAGAACAGGAATAATTAACTATATCAATGAAACCTTAATTATTAGATTATTAGGGTCATTAATATATGTCAAACAAGAAGAATAAATTGTCAGAATATGATCTAGTCCGTTTATTATTTTAACATTATTTATATGATGATTTAGTTGATGTGTGTTCTGTTCCACTGCACATGGCTTGTAAAGATTTGATTGCTTGGATTTGACCTATGTCCCTGCGTACCCGTTGAAATTCCTTGACTGGTAAATTCATACACTTCTCATGACAAATTATTTTTCTTAAATCACTACAGTTAATTTTTACAAGTCCAATTCTTTAAGTAAATAGATTTTTTACGTTTATTTTACAAATTTGGAGACTAATCCTTGATATTTCGATATTTTAAGCAAATCATATAAATAACTGCATGTATCGGTTATAAGCTTAAATCGGATGGAGATATTAGGTATTCATGGAGATATCAAGGGTAATATATCCTATAAATTACTACCAATTTTTAAAATCTTTTTATAAAAGATATTGAGTATTATTTTTTTTATAATTACGAAAATAATTCATATTAATTATATTTTATATTATTATTGATTTAAGTATTGAAATTTTTTTATAAATTCATGTATTTAAAAAAAATATAAAATTTTATTTATCTTTTGACTATAACTTATGATTTTGATGAGACATCAATAAAATGTTATATATGAGTATAATGATATAATTTTCAATTCCAAAGTTTACTGTAAAATAATTTGATTATGATGATCATTTGCATATCACTCTCATTGTTATCTAAAAAGGTTTTAATTATGATCGACAAGGATATTATTTTACATGAATAACGACACCAAATCATTTAAGGATGAACCGAAACATGTTAATGTTTTGGTATCTCGTTTAATAAACCAATATTAGTTCTTTTAAATGTGGTCTTCGTTAAAACACATATAGGTAAGATGCATACTCCTTTTAAAACTTATTTCATGCACTCAATTAGATTAGTTGCCATGTGTTTATGTCTTTTGTCCTCATAATATGCACTAAATTAACTATTAATTTAGGTTGTTTCATCTCATATATGATGTAATAATGAAGATGTACAAGTTAGTAAATATAATTACTAAATAAAATTAAAGGTGAAAATATAGTAGTAATATTAAAATATATTATCCATGTTAATAACTTGTTTCAATTTCGTGCTCTTGAATATCTAGTTAAAGTTTGTTTTTAAGTATAAAATAGTTCGCTATTTGATTAATTATTTTTTATTTTTTTATTCAAATGTTCCGCGATGAATCACTTCATTATGTGAATTCTTTTAACTTTGATTAGCACGTGTGAACACTTTTTCAATTCAGAGAATCCTTGTTAGATTACTTGATCATTTACTAATTATTCAATAATTAATATAATCTGAATCTATATTATTGATCTTCCGTATAGAACTTGAACTTTTAATGTAAGTTGTAATATTTAAGGCAAACTACAATAAAGATAAAAGTATAATTTTTAATGTAAGCTTGTGCACAATTTGACGATCACCACTATTACACTTATTTCATTTTATTTATATTCTACTTAGTGTAACGCTAGGAACAATAAAATAAAATACAAAAATAAGATAAAATAAAACATTTACTTTTTATACAACCAATCCCTTATTTTCTCGAGTCATTCTGTTTGCCACGTAACACTTGTAATATTCATGTTAGGTAATAGAGCTATAACCACTTTCGTGTATCTCTTGATTTGCAAAACTCCTTTTCGATCATTTGTCCTTTTATGTTTGCATAACTATTTCTTGATATTTTGTTTTCCTCAATTGCATAACCTTTTACTCAATACTCTTAAGTCTTCAATCCTAAACTTTCGATTAACACCTGTTTCTTTGTCTCAATATAATATGTATTTTTCGATTCTTTAATTTATTGTCTCTTCAACTATTATGAACTCATAGATTTCTTTTATCAAAATCATTCGATTAACCTTTCAATTTTTTAGCTCCTTTTTTTCTCTAAACCTTTTTCAACCTTCATCCTCTTGAAGTAGTACCATACCATCTCAATTATCGAGTCTTGTCTTGAACTCCAACATCCTCCTCTAACCATTCTTTCAATATATTTGTGAATTGTTAGTAATAAAGTTGCAGACAATATGGCAAATGCAACACACTAATTGAAGATAGTTTATATCCCAACAATATTGTTGTTCCTTTATTTGTTATCAAACATAAGTTCAACTAAGATATTACATATTTTTTCAAAAGTTGAATAATCATATCAAAGTTTCATTTGTCTCTCGTTCAATTATTGCAAATACTAGCTTGAGGAAATATATT